CAAAGACTCCTTTTTGAAAGGAAATGGATTTTCAGTTAGAAGTAATATCAACTGGCCGGGCGCAGTGGCTGGTGCCTGTAATCCCAGCACTTTGGGAGGCCAAGGCAGGTGGATCCCCTGAGGCCAAGAGTTCAAGACCAGCCTGGCCAAGATGCTGAAATTCTGTTTCCACTAAAAATACAAAAATTAACCAGGCATGGTGGTGGGTGCCTGTAATCCCAGCTACTCAGGTGGCTGAGGCAGGGAATTGCTTGGACCCGGGAGGCGGAGGCTGCAGTGAGCCAAGATCGCACCAGCCTGGGCAACGAAGTGAGACTTAATCTAAACTCCATCTCAAAAAAAAAAAAAAAAAAAAAAAAAAAAGTAATACCAACTACACACAGTTATTCCAGAAGATTGAAAGGCAAGGGAATAATTCCAAACTCATTCTGTAAGGCAAGCGTTTTTCTGATACCAAAGTAACACATACTACAAGTAAAAGTAAACATATATTACAAGAAAAGACAAAGAGAGACCAATATTCCTCATGGAGATGGATGCAAACATTCCTAACAAAACGTAGGCAAATATCTGTCACTACTGAAACCATCTTGGTTCCCAAAAGATAATACAAAATGACCAAGTGGGGTCTATCCCAAAAATGCAAGGCGGTTTATCACAGAAACACTAAGTGGTGTCATGCGTCATATAACTGATTAGATGTGCTCCTCTCAACAGAAAAGCGAGTCTTAAAAACTCCAGCACACATTCCTGATAAAAATTCTAAACAAGCCAAGCACAGAGACAAACTTCCTCGTCTTCGCCTGTGTTTTGCTGGAGCCTCACTCTGTCCCTGGAGTGTGGTGGTGCAATCCCAGCTTACTGCAGCGTCGGCCTCCCGGGCTCAAGGGTCCGCCCGCACTCGCCTCCCAAGGTGCTGGGATTCCAGGCATGAGCCACTATGCCCAGCTCCTTTGCCCGTCTTAAGTTGGGAAGTTCATGTTCTTTCTGGTGAGTTGAGAGAGATCTTTGTAGATTCTGGATGACAGTCCTTCATCCCACGGAGCTTTTGCAGACATTTTCTCCCAATCTGTCCGTGTCTTCTCTTTTTTTTTTTTTAAGACAGAGTTTCGCTCTTGTTGCCCAGGCCGGAGTGCAATGGTATAATCTGGGCTCACCGCAACCTTTGCCTCCCAGGTTCAAGTGATTCTCCTGTCTCAGCCTCCCGAGTAGCTGGGATTGCAGGTGCCCGCCACCATGCAAATTTTTGTATTTTCGGTAGAGATGGGGTGTCACCACATTGGCCAGGCTGGTTTCCAACGCCTGACCTCAGGTGATCTGCCCGCCTCGGCCTCCCAAAGTGCTGGGATTACAGGCCTGAGTCACTGTGCCCGGCCTTCCCATTTTCTTAATTCTTTTTTTTTTTTTTTTTTTTTTTTTTTTTTTTTTTTTTTTTTTTTTTTTTTTTTTT